AGGATATCCTAAGTTGTTAGTGTGAAATGAGGCTCTCCCCGACTTTCTGAATGGGAATTGGGAATCTGCAGGCGATCAGGGGCTCTAGCAAGTTCAAGAATCACTGTGTCTGAAGGAAAGTCTTTCAACCGTTTTGTTTTGTACTGGGGAATCAAACTCAGGATTCCTTGTGCTTGCAAGGCAGGTGGTAGAACCACTGAACTAAATCCCCAGCTGATTCTTACACATTTTGTAGAGGGCTGCAGTAAGAGAATTCTTCCTGGGACCCAATTTAATGGCCAGAAGAGTGCAGAATTGGACGAGTGATGTGTGACAGTCTCTTTGTCCTTTCCCCTCTTTTCAGATCTAACCTTCATCAGAGAAACTGCATGCCAAAGCACTTCTTTCCTGTCCTTGTTGTCATCTGCTCTCTCACTTGCCAGGGCTGCCCTATCTTGGTCAATTCTTTTTTTCTTTTGGATAATGTAAGCCTGAGCACTTTACTTTTTCTTCTTTTCTTTCTCAGTTCTTTGTTCTCCTTGGTAACTCTACTCAGTCAGTTATTGCCTGAAAGGTTAGCACTGCTGTCTCTTCTCTGTCTCCTGTTTCTTCAGATATGTTCTTCTCTGGTTCCCTCAGTAAAATAAAATAAACCAAAGACATAAGCCTCCCATACCAGAGTCCAGCTGCTGTGTTTCTCACTCTCCCTTGCCAGCCCCCACAGTGCCCTTATGCCTCATGTCCTCCTGGCACCAAGACATATCTTGACTAATGATAGGAGAAAAGAAAATGATTAGACAGGATGACTAGGCAACAGTCAGAATTAACAGCTGAAACCTGGTGGATTGGTGGGTGTGGGGGAATCAGTTTTTTTTTTTAACCTCTCTTTCTGCTTAGCTGGGAAGAACCAACTTCATTTGCTCCAGGAGACATGGATAAAACCTCATTCTGGAACTGTCTTAGCAACCAGCCTTCAGAGTTAAAGGGGGATGGGATGTGATTTTGGAGGATGGAGTAGGAATGGTGGGAGCATTAACTGAAGAACTCGGCCTATGTTGGGAGTCTTAGTTGAAGCAAAGATGGTCAGAAAAATGGCCTGGTTCCTGCATATTGATCTGATGCCTCAGCTGTTAGAACTGTGGATGTTGACAGGGAGGCCCTGAGAATCTGATGCTGCCCTAGAGAGTATGAGCTTCCTTGAATGTTCCAGCTACTTGACAGGATCTCTGATATATTATTGTATAAGCACTGATTATGCTTGTGGAAAGATACTAAAAGATAATATCTGTATTTTTTCTAAAAAGTGAAAAAGTATCCAGCCTCTGTACAAAATTATTTATTTCCATTTGTTTGAAATATGGCTGTTATGGCTTGTACCTAGATGTCCCCCTGAACCCTTATGCACTCATAAGGTGGCTTTTGGAGGTGGCTGTGATGTAAGGGGAATAGATACAACTCCACATCTGCTAGATAGGCAAAACATGAGAGAAGCATGAGTTTCTCTAAAATCAAAGAATGAATTCTAGGAACAACAGAGGTTAAATGTAGGAAAAATTTATTAGAAGATAACATCTAAGAGAAACAGAAGGGGGACTGAAGAGTGGGTTGTCTGGCCCATCTCAGTTTTCAAAGGCCTTTTATATGGCAAAGACTTGAGGTGAGGCAGATACAAAGTGGGACAAAACTATAAGACCCAATGGAAAATTATAAGGTAGGCATGAGGTGGGGCAAAACCATGACCAACCAAAAAGATTACAAGTACAGTCACCCAGGTAATATTGATTAAATGAGGATCAAATGGGAAAACAAGTCATGTACGAGGAATTTCCCCACTTAAAATCTCAGTCACTGCTGTTTATCTCTAGGGGAAGTATCTCTTTTCTTTATAATGCTAACTTTTTTTCTTTGTATAATGCTAGCCAGTGATGTGCCTTGATTGTTCTCCACGTGAGCTGTTCTCTGTGTTGGCTATGTGAGGGCCACCCTGTCTAACTGTCTACAAGATATGTAATTAACTTACCTATCTACAATACCTGGATCTAGGTTGAGTGAATATGGATTAAGGGTGTGTTAATATAGATTAAAGGTACATGATAACCAAATTAGACCACTGTTTAGCATAGTTCTGGGTGTGCATAATGGGAAGGCTCACCCTGAGTGTGGATGGCACCAGCAAATAGGCTCGTATCCTGGCTGGAATATAAAGGGAAAGATGGAAGGCAGGCTTTCTGCCTTCTGCCTGCTCTACCTGAACTATTTCTCCTCTCCATTGCCTGTCTGCCATGCCACCCTGTCTTGGAGCCAGCTGACTATGGACTGAAACCTCTACAAACTGAACTGAAATAAACCTTTCTTCCTTTAACTTTGAGTGTTGAGTAGTGTCTCAGTGACACAAAAATTAACTAAGATGATCCATGAGAGATCTAGAGACAGATTAGGAATGGGAGGTAGAGGTTAGAGAATGAGGAATGATGGCTAGTGGTTAAAGGATTTTTTTTAGGGGAGAATGAAAATATTCCAAAATTAGGTTGATGTGGTGGTTGTATAACCCTCTTAATATACTATAAAACATTAAATTATATTGTTTAAATAGATGGATTGTGTGGGCTGTGAATTATATTTTAATAAAACTTTTTAAAAGTACATTTTTTTAAAAAGTAGAAAATTTGGGAAATTATAGACTATCAGCTCAGTGTGATCCCTTAAAATAATCTCCAGCAAATTATTACAGTGTGTGGTTGGGAGATACAGGCAAGAATGTAGGAAAAAAAAAAAAAGAATGTACTGATCTTTGAGAAACTATAGATATCACTAAGAACAAGTCATGCCAGATTTAACCTTTATTCCTTTTATTAGGCTTACCTTGTTAGTGGGTGAAGGAAATGGCATCAATACAAGCTATCTGGCATTAATATCCCAATATAAAGTAGTGTGAAAAGCAGAGATTGGGGCTGGGGATATAGCTCAGCAACACTTAATCTTCCTGACAAGCACAGGGTCCTGAATTCCATCCCCAGTACCCCCCCGCCAAAAAAGGCAGAGATTGTTTCTTCTTTAGAGCATTTGACTAATGTTGTCCCTATATGTGGTATTTTTCTCTTCATGTTATAATTTTTCCATTAGACTGTCCTCTGTTGTAACTCTACTGTTATACTTTCAGGATCATAAGTTTTTGTACCACTTTCATGATATGAACCATTTAATTATAAAGTCTTGAAGTGATGACAGAAGTAGTGTTGGATTTGGCAGAGCTTGGGGTTGCCTAAATTTTCTAATTTCAGACTCTTTAGAAAATTAGTTTTGCAAGAGGAATATTTCTGTATTTCATTGTAACCATGTTATAAATGCCATTACCGCCATCATTTTGTTGCCTGTCGCACATGTCGCACATGATGATGCCTTAGGTAGCTGTCTCTTACCACCCTTGCATTTTGTCAGGGAATTTGGGGAGCTGGTCTGCCTGGTTTTTAATTTTTCGCTTTCTCAGTGTTATATATACAGGAAGACTGTATTGAGAGAGATAGCTCCTAAGAGACAGGAGGGTACCCTTCTTGAAATTTTATAGAGCAAAATTACATGCTGGGTACACGATGGTTCAAAACTATCATCAATCAATAATATTACGAGTGTAGCTGCTCAGGTAATATTGATCCAATGAGGAAGCAGATCACATAGCAACTGTACATGGAAGGAACAAGGACCTTTTTAAGGAAGGGATGGATCAGGAGTACCTGGTCACCCACTAGGGTGATTGATATGTATCTCGCCTTTATTGGACCAGGTGATACCAGTTATTC